TGTTTTCAACTACCTACATCTGCATGGGAGGGGACACCTGTAAGTGAGCTGGGGAGATACGGTATGGTGGGGGTGGGGGGGATTGGGGCAGGACGGGGAAGTGAAAGCATCACCTTGCCCTGCTCACCATGATTGCATGGTGGCCCAAACACAATTAAATATCTGCTACATAACTTGCCTTATGCGAGAGTGTGTTAAACTCTCTCCATGTTTTACTCAGATAATTGGAGTAAAACATAGGCATGTAGCTTTCAAAAGGTTGGGAAGATCAAAGTGAGCAAAACCTAGTTGAAAACTGCACAGTTGTTCCATGGCAGCTGGCTGTCCTTCAGTACTTCTCTCCAAGCAGACGCACTCAGGTTTAACCAAAACAGAGCCTCTTTAACATCAGACAATGTGCAACGGAAAAGAGGCCTCCTTATTGGGTGCAGGGGTAAATGAGAGTTCCCAGGGCCCCTGTTGCCTGGCTCTCTGCTTTCCTCCTGGAGTGAACATTTTGTGTGGTTGGCCTGAGGCTGTCTGAGGCATGCACCCAGCCAGCTCTGCAGAGAGAAGCCAAGAGGATGGACAAGGTGTTTCAGTCTTCGAAGGCCATCGTCTTGCCACTCCTGAGCCAGTTGACTTGCTGAGGGTTTTGTTGCTGTACTAAGTTGAACGGTGGCCCCAAAGGTATGTCCACATCCTAAGCTGTGGGACCTGTCAATGTTACCTTGTATGTAGGCAAGAGTGATTACCTTATATGCCAAAAGATGATTAAGGATTTTGAGAGGAGCCACTTATCCTGCATTATCTGAGGGGACCCTAAATGCAGTCACAGGCATCCTTATGTGAGAGCCAGAGGAAGATGAGAGACAGGCAGAGATGGGAGTGATGCAGCCACAAGCCAAGGAATGCTGGCAGCCAACAGAAGCGAGAAGAGGCCAGGAATGAATTCTCCCCAAGACTCTGGAGGGAGCACAGCCTTGCCACACCCATTATTCCAGACTTCTGGCTTCTGGAACTGAGAGAATAAATTTCTGTGGTTTAAAGTCAGCTAATTAGGGTAATTTGTCATAGCAGCCCCAGGAAATGGAGTTGTCTAAAGTTGTCAGAATTTGGTTTCTGTCACTTCTACCTAAAATGGTTCTGGCTCATACATGATGTTAAGCCTGGCCAAACATCTCAAGGTTGTGGCCCCCGCAACCAGGAAGGGGTCCTGCCAGACTTGTCCAACTCTGTGTCCTACAAAGTAGCCTGCTTGCTGTCACTCTCTCACGTGCACTCCGGATACTGTGGTCCTGGCCCTGGCCTCGTTCCTATAACTGGGTCTCTGTTAGCTGTTGTCAACATTGAGCCTCTAGCTGGCAGGTGGCTGGGGACAGGGAGTGAGGCAGAAAGACAGGTGCTGGAAGCTGCTGTTGATTTTTTGGTGGAAGTGTCACGGCTCATGAATGCCCACTCTGGCTTGGAGCCTGCTGTCTAAGGCACAAGTTTGATGTGGAAACTGCTCATTGCCCACCGCCCTTCCCCCACCCTCCCCAATTGAGCGAGGCGGGGTCAATCTCACAGAACCAGCTCATTTTTATAGGAAGTGAGGACAATGGTGTGAAAGTTCCATGGAAGCAGGAGGACAGGGGCCCTGCAAGGCTTTAGGAGACATCCCCCACCTGGACAGAAACCTGCTAGTGTGTCTGGCATGCATGTGAAAAGAGGCAGAGATGTGTCCCCCCTCACTGGGCTACAGGCCTGGGAAGGCCTGTCTTGGGATGTTTGGGAAAACTGTTCTGCCAGGGACATGTCACCCCACACCCAAATGAGCCTCCAATCCATGACAGAAGCTGCAGAGAGGAAAATTAAGTAAGTACACACACAACAGAAGAAAATACACAAATAACCTTACAAACAGCTCTCAAGGGACTGGGGTTGAGCAAATGAGGGAAGGCCTCCAGGGTGTGTGAAGGCCTGGCTGCCAGGGCCTAGGTCCTGCTCTCTGTGCAGCACACTTCATACAGTCAATGGGATCATCTGGTCTAGTCCCTTGAGTTGGGGGCAGAGGATGGCAGAGAATTCTTGCCAGGCATGTTACACAGCTAGTAGTGCAGGGCTGCTGGGTGTCTGTTCAGATGCAACCCATACAAGTGTGTGGGACTGTGGACTCAGTTACCAGGAATGACATTGCTGTTGGTGACCAAATTTTCCAAAATGATGACCAGACCTTGGTTAAGTTATGAAGAAAATGAAGTTGAGTCTTCCCTTGATTTACACAATAGTTGCATTTTCTGAAAAACTGTATATTAAACCAGCTTCCTAATACTTTGTGTTTATAACAGAGTTGGATTCTACACAAAAATGAGAAACAAGATTTTCTCACATACACAAATATCCTATCCAGCAACATGTTTGTAAATCAAGTGGGATGCGGGTCAATTCCTGGTTGGGTGGGACAGTCCTGCATGTCACAGGATGACCACCTTCTGGCCCACCCACTAAATCACTGCAATAATCCAAAATGCCTCCACCTATTTCCAAATGTCCCCTAGGGGCTGTCCTGTGCTGGTTGAAAACTATTGCCCCATTGGCCCTGCCTGCCCCAACTCCTACCGCTGTTGTAGCCCACTTTGCTTCTGCCAACCAGGCATGCTGCCATCTCTGGGCCTCCACACCAGCTCCCTCCTCCATTCGGCTCTCCGGTCAGCTGTCACATCAGAATGGTCCCTCTTCTGCACCACCATGTAAGGTAGCAATTCACCCAGAACCTTCTACCCCCAACCCTGTTTTTACCTTTCTTCACAGAACTTACCCGACATTATACTCATGATCTGTCTCCCCTGCTACACTGTAAACTCTGTGAGGAGGAGGATTTCGTCTGTTTTGTTCACTGTGTAATCCCTGGTCCCTACATGAGGGCTGGCCAGGCCGGGCCTCCTCATGACCTGCCCGTGCAGGAAGGACAAGCATGGCAGGCACAGCAATCACTGGCCTGCGGGGAGTTTGAAATCCTGCTGGCCCCGCACTGGGGAGGGCAAGTTCCCAGCTAGGCCATCTGCGCTCTGGGCCACACCTCAGGCGGCCTTGGCTTGTGTCCTCGGGCAGCTTTCACAGCATCTCCCGCCTGAGGCGGTTCTAATTAGACTTCCTCAGCAGTCACAGGGTTGGTGGTTTTCATTTTTAAAGGTCAGGCTAATGGTTTCTCTGGCAACAATTCCCTCAAAACCTGCGCTTACTCTCCAGGGCAGGCCCAGTGTCGGTGACATCAGGTGGCTTCCTGGACAGCTCTGTAGTTGCCTTCATTCCTTTGCTTCTGTATCCACACGCTTCTCCAAGACGATGGCCTTGACGTTATGTCTCCAGAGGGAAGCCCACATCCTGTCCTTGGTTCCCACCTGGAAGCAGAGTCACTAAATGCCGCCGGGTCTTTGTTGTTCACAGGTACCTCTTACTGTTTGGAGGCTAGAAGATTAGTTGGCTTTTCCAAGACTCCAAGACTCTGGGTTTCAGGACTCTCCCCCCCTTCCCCTTCTGCTTTGTAAACGAATTCTGGAACTCAGCTCTTGCTTGTGATGCCTTGCCAAAGCAGCCAATAAGCACCAACACGGAGCACATTCTGGGTTTTTCCACCTTCTCTCCCTCCAGTTAGAAACTCAGAGCGCATGTAATTTGCTTTCCAGGTTATCAAACACAACAGCCTTACCGGATGGTTTGCAACTGCCTGAGGGGGGTCCCCAGCTGTTCTGCCTGCTGCATCTGTTTGCCTGCCCCCTGGCCTCTAACTGAGCCAATGCCATGTGTTTTAGGTTTTGGTTACAGCTGCCTTCCACTTCAGGGTGCCAATTTGTGTATTAGTGAAAGTAAGAAAAGCTACCTCTTGCAATCAAGCCTCAAATCTCAGTGGGACAGGGGAGTGAAAGTTTGCTTTTCAGTGATGCAAAGACCAACACACAGCTCTTGCTGCCCAGGTGGCCTGCCTCTAAATGGTGACTCAGGGGCCCACTTCCCCCTAACATCTTTGACACCTGACCCCGAGGGAGTCCCACATGGGAGCAGGTATGTGCCAAGTTTGGAACTTGTGTACATCACTTCTTCCAACACTTCTTTGGCCACAGCTCAGTTTATGGCAGCAACCTAACTGCAAAGGGGACGGGAGATGCTGCGGACCAAAGGCAACATGTAACAGGCTTGGTGAACACACAGCAGTCTCTGCCATTACAAAAGCACAGGTTTTTATCCTGACAGGAAAACTCGACAGCTCCCACAGCCCTCCCCAGAAAAGTTTCAAGGTCCTCCCCACCCCTGTAGCAGCCACCAGTCCAATGGTATTCCTCCCTGGCCCAGGCCAAGCCTGGTTGGGCACCTCCAGCCCCCTTCCACCTAACCCTCTTGGGCCTGGTGTCTCGGCCACACTCCCCTGCAGGAGCAACCGTCCTTCCTTGCGCTTTCTCTGATGTTCTCAACGCATGATGCTCATCTCATCCTTCTGGGCTCTGCATTCCACACCAAGGCACTGAAATGCAGTTCTGACCCCATTCTGAGGGCACGAGCTGCATAAAGTGGGGCTGGGCATGCAGGAGGTGTGAAGACTTTGTGAATGGACGTTAACTTCATAAAAAACTCAAGACCAGTGACAATGCTGGGGCCCTGGGGGATGGAACCTATCAGCAAACCTGCGATTTAGAAGTCTGGAAAACCTAGAGACACATTCAGGGGCCCGTGAGGAGACAAACTGCTAAAAGACCAAGGGCAGCCAGCAGGCACAGCATCAGTGTGGACTGCTCTGCACACCAGTCTCCACTGTCGTTTCAAGGGCACACAGGTATTGGGGGGTGTTAGTAAGTTCCCCCAGAGGTGTCTGAGGTGCCCACCTGCTGGTTTCACACCTTCATCTTCAACTGCCAAGTGCTTCCTCTGCGGCAGTCTGAAATTTGGGAACCATTTTAAAAATTTTTTCCATAAGGCTCTTGTGACCAAATTGTAAAAGAAGTCAAACAAAACAAAATCAAAACTAAAGACTCAGGGGAAAAAACCACATTTTTACCAGATCTACTTTTATTTCAGAAGGAAGTTTGTAGTATAGTATTTACTTTTTTTATGTACAAGTTCTTCACATTTTGTTTAAAATGCACAGACCTCCCTTAATTCTCTTGTTCCTGCTTAAATTAGCTGTTATTTTACAATACAAAAAATACCAAAAAATTGCAGTCCTAAATGTATGTATAATACCCACAATCCCCAGCAATGAAATAGTTTACAATACTTACTCCATATTTACATGAGTGCAACAGATGCTAAATTATACATATTGACAAACTAAGCTTGAATCTAAACAAACAAAAACGTATATAACTATAGAACAAAACATTTCCAGGGCCAGAATTAGTTCAATGAGACAGGCTTCACTAGTGTTTAGAATGTTTTGTGCACAAATTCAGTTACTGGAAGTCGCTTCCATTATTGCCTTTAAGAGAAGGCGCCGGTTTTCATCTCCTTTCCAAATCATTTCCCTGCAGGCAAAGGCGTTTATTAGTTTGAACTACTCCGGGGAAATGTCTCCTTGTGGGCTTGGCTATCTACAAACCATGACTTCTGAGGCTGAGCTTGGTAAACGCTTCAGATGGAGAGCTGGTGCACGGCCGAGGACAAACCCACTGCCTCCCTGGATCTGTTGTCAGGATGGCCAATTCTCACAGAAACCACAAGGAAAGATCTCCTGGGACGATGGGTTTGGAAGCTGGATTCTGTTGTAATTCTGGAGCTTCTTTTTCATCTCGGTCACTGCCCTAGTGTGAGCTTAGGTTGTTAGTAAGTGCTTAGTGAATATTCCTTGAATGGATGCATGAATGAAACTCAAGGATCAAAGGTGTTCATGACAAGGGCACCCCCCAAGGAAGTGAATCACCCCCACCCCTGCCCAGATACACTCCATTAAGTTGAAGGAGTAGGACTTGCACTGATAGTGCTCTGGTCTTTTCATTTGCCCAGATTTCCTGGTGTCTCGAACCTTGCAGCTCAGGTCTCACCCATAGATATTCCCATGTTTCCCTTTTGCTGCAGTCTTCTGTCCAGAGCTGCTTTTTCCATACCTCCTCCCACCTTTTGCAGGTGATACCCAGAGGGAAGCACAGACTTCTCTTCTCCCTAAGCTGTGTGTAGAGAGGAGTAGAAGGCAGGAGTCCAGGGTGCATGCGGTTCTTTATGGGGAACCAGGAGCTATATATCAACAAACTAGCCACCCCACTCCCACCTCCAATTTCCAGTATAGTAAACTATGGTTCTGGGAAATGATCATTAAAAACTTAGACAAAACCACAACAAAATGCAGCCTGGAAACCCCCTTTTTGGAAAATCTGATTTCTAAGGTATAATCTTTGAACTTAAAGACTTTGAAAAACATTTCTCAGGATGAGACTGGCTGTCCCTGGCCACCCACAGCACTAAAAGGTTGACAGATGCACGACGCACTTGCAGAGTGAACAATAGTGACAGGTTCCCACTGCCTTCAAGTCTTCTCATGTACTGCTGTTTAAATGGACTCACTGCCAGTTTTCACTTGTGTACTAACAGAGGATTCGGGTTCTAAGGGTTATCCAATTGGTACCAGATGCATTTGAACACATCAGCATGATGAGGGTGCCCTTCTTGGCTTCATCAATGCTTCAGGGTCTAACAAGAGGACTTCTCTGAACCTGGATATCCAGTAATGGCACAAAAACACATTAGGTGAAACTCAGACGCCGTTACATTTAATAAAAATACATTGAGATTTTTCTGTTTTATGTACACTTTGAATGTCTGAACATTCCGGACACTACTGTATAGTTATGTACAAGTGCAACATCAACGCTGTCATGACTATAATTTATTTACAGGCTCTCCTGTGACATGCAGACATCTCTGAAGTTCCAGGTGATGCCCTCTTGGTAACTGGCTCTAAGCTGAGTGCCTTTCTCCTGCCATTCCCTTCCTCTGGCCTGAGCCTAGAGAAAGCCATTTGCTATGGGCTGCAACGGAGAAGCAGGTGGGTTCAGCTGTTTCTCCACTGCTGGAGCAAAATTAAACTTCACTTGCTTTCTTCCTTTTTAAAACTAAACATCGTGTTTTATGAAAAAATAAATAACCAGGTGGCTGTGGGACTGGTGCATGTATTTCAAGGCGTGGGACTACCGTGGGGAAAAAGACTTCTTTGGCCAAGGGCACAGGGGTCCTTAGAACAAACAAGGATTTCCCTTGTGGTAGGATCCCCTCCAGTGCCTCCCTCTTGGCCAAGAGGCCTGGTGGTAATAAGAAGTGAAGGCCCAGTCCATGGCAGGCTCTCTGTGGGTGCCGTGACCTGGAGTAGGGATGCAGGGAGCTCATAGAGGTCTTTTCTAGAACCATCTATTCTTTAACAGTAATGTGAAAACACAGCTTTTTGAGAGGTGAGTCTCAAAGTAGAGGTGCTTTGTGCACCAGACAGTCTTTTATGGTTCGACTTCTTTGAAAACATCTTCCCAGGCAATTCTTCATGGGAGTGGGGTCAGTGCTGGGGGAGAGATAGATACTCCCTCTCTCTAGGCACCACATTTAAAGGTTTTCACAGTTTTTGCTCTTTTGAGTATTTATTTCTCCAAATTCACAAGCTACAGCATTGTTGTCTAGAGGTCCATCCCCAGGTTTTGAAGCAGGAGAGGTCTTGGGAGGCTGCTGCATAATGCCAGAGTACAGAGCACCATAGATGGACAACACGATGTCTAGGCAGTGCCCTGGGGAGAAAAGCAGGGACTGCCCCATCCTGCTTAAATTTGGTCACTTTCCATTTGGCATAGTTTTCCCTCCTTGTCCATTTTTTCCATGTGCTTTTCATCCTTTTAGTGTTCATTGCCCTCCCACAGCCACCACCTGGGTCTGGGGAGGGGTGAAGAGCCAGCCCCTCCTGGGGGAAAGAGGACAAACAGCTCCAGGTCCTTCTCTAGGCTGTGGGCAGGTTCAGCTGACAATGGGAGACTGTCCCTCTCCTGGTGTGCGATCCCACCCGCAGCCTGCGATGGCCCACAGCTCAGAGCAGGCTGCAGGAACAGAGTCGCTCTTTGATCCAGGTACTGTCATGCTCTTTTCTGCTCAAGGGAGGCATGTAACATGAGTGAGTCCCTTCTTCTGTGGCGCCCTGGAAGCAGGAGGCCAGAAAGGCTGAAGAGAACATCAGACCTAGAGTGATCTGGGGTCAGGAGAACACATGGGGATCATGCCTAGTGTCCTTTTTAACAATACAAACAGGAGCTTTTACAGTTAGGTCATCCCTGCTTTCCTCTTCAGTCCTTGGTGCTGGGATAAAGGTTGCTTGGGGTGAAAATTCTTTCCTGGCTGCAAAGTACATTTTAGAAAAAAAGCAGATTGCCAATGGTAGCTATTTAAGTTGTGTAAGAATGTAGGAATGCAATTATGTAAAAACTTAGGCTTACTAACTTTCCAATTGCTAGATCTATTTAAAGTCTAGGCACTTAGTGTTTGTGTGTGCAGGTGTGTGTGAGAGAGAGGAATTTCAAATGGATTAAGACCTAATTTAATCAAGTAGCTATAGAAAACTACCTATCACACCAGTTTACGTTCTAAATAACACTGCTGATTATGACACTTAAAATAGCCCCCTTCTATCTCAGTTTAATATGATTCAAAAGAGATGGACATTAGTTCTCAACTAGAAAAAAAGATACTCCCTGGAAGAGAGTTATCTGCCTAAAACATGCAAGAATAAATAGCACATCTTTTAAAAAAGATAGGTTTCAGATGAAGACAAGTTCATTCATCTGACTAGTTTTGAAAAGACCTTGTTCCAGAATGACTGATGACGCATGTCTGCTTGTAAACACTACATCTTTGTTTTTGCACAGTTGAGACAGTCCCAAGACCAGTTTCCCACAAGTAAACCTGAGTATCATTCCTAGCTCTCTCACTGGCTCCACACCGGCCTCCTCCAGCAACATCTGGATCACCCCTGGACCTGTAATTAAATCAATTATTTCCTATGCAAAAATAAAAGGTCAGATGCTAGAGCACACATGGTAGAAACTGTCAAAGAAAGCCTGTGAACATGCAGATGAGTCGATGTTTCCAGTTGGAGGGTTTCCAGTTTTCTGCCCTGCTCGGCTCCACACAGCATCTCCTGCCTGCTCCCACCCTGCAGCCGGCTCTAGCACGCCACACCTCGCCACACTTCGCTCACTCACAGAGAGTCCCTGGCCCCAGCATCAAATGCAGGTCCCGGGCTGCGCAGGGGGCTGCTGCTTCCGGTTTCTCACTGCTCCTGACTTCTCTTTGTACACTATTGGCATCTGCTGAGAAATGTCCACCAGGGCGCTGGCTACTGCAAGACCTTGGGACAACCCAGAGAGGGAACACATGTTAAGAAGCAGCTTGCTTTTATTTTTAAAAATAATTTTAAAAAAATCTGTTTACATTCCCATGGTGCAATAAACAATGCAATAAAGTATGTAGGGAAGTCTTACTTCCATTCTGCCCCTCCCTCCACCTTTCCCCTAGCCAGCTGAGAAACTTTCATTAGTTTGCACATATTCTTTCAGGGTTTAGTTATGCAAACACAAATACATATTCTTTGTCCCTCCCCATTTACACAAAAGGTATAGCTTGCTTTTCAGATCAATCAAGCTGAGTGCTCTGCTTGAAGGTGGGAGCATTTAAGTACGATTGCAGACATACTCTAAGCACTAAATTTCCCCTGCTTGCCTCCAAAGGGAGGCCAAGAAAAAGCAGCACTCTTTACAATGTAATTCAGATTCATTCCACATTGCCCAGCCAGCACCAGTGATTTTTTTTTACACCTTTTTATTGATTTTAGAGAGAGAGGGGGAGAGAAGATACATCGATGAGAGGGTGAGAGAAAAACATATCGATTGGCTGCCTCCTTCATGCTCCCTACTGGGGATTGAGCCCACAACCCAGGCATGTGCCTTGACTGGGAATCAAACCAGTGGCCTCTTGGTACATGGGACGACGCTCAACCGAGGCACACCGGCCAGCACTAACGAGTTTTTACATCTATACCAAAGGTTAGGGCAGACTCTAGAATAAGCAAGGTTCTTTAACCTCCCTGTGCCTCAGTTTCCTCATTTGTAAAATGGGGAATAATAATAATAACAGGGCTTGTATGAGGAGTGAATGAGTGAATCAAAGTATTCTTAGAATGCTACTTGGTTCACCACCTCCCACTCCCCTTTGCTTTAGGGACTGGTAGTTCCATTTTCCGTTTTGTACTGGTAACCTTTACTGATTTTCATTTGGGAAAAGGTCAGCCCAGGCTCAGGGTCTGGCTGAGGCTCTCAGGAGCCATGCTGGCAGACTTGTCACTCCACCTCACTGAGCCTACAAAATGAGGGAATAGGTTTTTAAGTGCCAGGTTTAATGCCTGGCATTCAGTGGAGAATCCAGTGACAACTGTTATAGCAAAGGCAGAGCCAGGTACTCTGGGAGTCCAGAGGACACCCTCTAAAATGG